GTATGGACATTGAACGAGTAGGTAGTAAAAGGGGGAGATAAGGAGAGGGGGGGGGGGAGGATGTGGGGGGGAAAGGGTACAGGCTGGAGACTCCATTAGCTTAATAACCAGGGCCACACACACACACACACACACAAACCTGCTTATGCAAAGCGCCTGTTTGTCCTGTATTGCCATTTGTCCTGTATTTCACTGCCGTCCATCCTGTATCACACTGCTGTTTGTTGTCTGTCCTGTATCATACTGCCATCTGCCCTGTATCGCACTGCCATCTGTCCTGTATCACACTGTCCCTATCCCCTACACTGCAACAGTGGCTCAGTCATTTTGCTATATTCATTCATGTCCATTTGACAACAAAACTTGAAACTTGAAGTCCTCTGCTATCCTCGTTCCACTTGGTTCCCAAGCTTACACACCCCCACACTCACCTGTACATGAGTAAATCAGGAATCCCCTCCACCTACCGGTGCAGTTCTGACTTACAGGCACTTTCACTCTTCTCCACCACAGGCCGAGTGGCGTGAGGAGGTCAAGCATCACTTTGAGAAGATAAAGACTGAGGGCACGTGTCTACACCGCCTGGATGAGGAGCTGATCTTCAGGCGCCGGGAAGAGCTCAGGTCAGCAGCTGAGACCCGGGGCCTGGAAGGTGGAGTCAAGGACTGCAAAGAGAGTAGAGGGCTTCAGGGATCTGTGATGATCTTAGCTTAGAACAAAGGAGGTCCCTCAGGTCGTAGAAGAGCAGAATGTTCCCCGCACTGCTGTCCTAATCCACTCCTCACTCGTCTGCTCGTCACACAGGCATGCCCTGGACATCCGGGAGCACTATGAGAGGAAGCTGGAGAGAGCCAACAACCTGTACATGGAGCTCAATGCAGTTATGTTGCAGCTGGAGCTCAAGGAGAAGGAGCTACGCAGGTACCAGGGGCCCCACGAGTCACTTGGTTGCGTCCAAATGGCCGAAAGATGGCTTCCTTTGCAGTCACACAAGTCACACGGTCATGTCCGATTGGCCGGACACTGGCTTCCTGTGCAGTCGCACAAGTCACACGGTCATGTCCGATTGCCTGGACACTGGCTTCCTGTGCAGTCGCACAAGTCACACGGTCATGTCCGATTGGCCGGACACTGGCTACCTGTGCTGTCACACAGGTCACACGGTCATGTCCGATTGGCCGGACACTGGCTACCTGTGCTGTCACACAGGTCACACGTCATGTCTGATTGGCCAGACACTGGCTTCCTGTGCTGTCACACAGGTCACACGTCATGTCTGATTGCCCAGACACTGGCCTCCTGTGCTTCTTCATGGTCTGATGAGCGCAATTAAACTGGTGAAACTGGAAAATTCAAGGTGCTCTCTGTGTTCCTTAGATGCTTCTCTTCCTGTCAAAAATTACTTCTTGTTCATTTTCCCCAAAGATTATCTTCCTGTGTCTGGGAAGCGGCTTAGGGCGTCACCCTCTAAAACAGTATAAGTGCTGATCTCTGAAATACGGGAGGGTGCTGACTGATGTAGACTCTGCCCCCAGACAGCGGAGGGTTAATGGGCTCACTCTGCTTCCCAGGAGGGAGCAGTCGCTGGATAAGAAGTACCCTGGGCTGTTCAAGCATCACGCTTCCAGGCAGAGTGGCTCCACCAACTCCATGGAGAAGCTCATCAAGAAGCGGAATGTTCCCCAGAAACTGCCTTCACACATCAAGAGGTATGAGGTTATTGGACCTTCTGGGCCAGAAGTCCTTCATTCCCTTCCAAAGCTGCAAAGTTGTCCACTGTCTCCGTCTCTGTGTCCCCGTCTGTTACTGACGTATGTGCGTCTGCCTGTCCCGCAGACCCGACATCCTGAAATCTGAGGTGATCTTGCCCAAGTTGGATTCGTCCATGACGCAGGTGACCATCCCCTCCTGTCCCAACAAGAGCTCCACGTCTCCGGGTCGCTCACGCCGCGGCAAGCCACGCCACCGCAAGGCTGGGAAGGGCAGCAGCGGGGACCTGGCGGGACTCAAAGCCGCTCTCTCCTCCTCCTGCCGGGATACCTCCTCCCCTGTCACCAGCAGCCCGCCAGCCAAGCAGCACTTGGCCCCCACCGCGGCTCTGCGTGGCCTGCAGCACGACCTCCTTCTCAAGAAGATGTCCTCCTCCAGTCCGGACCTCATCTCCACCACGATGGAGGCTGAGGGCCACCACCAGAGGGAGTCGGCGGGGTTGGAGCGCAGCGGCAGCCTGAGTGCCGCTGCGGGACTGGGCAGAGCTGAGGTGGAGGGCGGGGTTGACGCAGGGGTGGGGGGCGATGACCCCACAGAAACCCCGCCTCGTAGTGACACGCCCAGCGAAGACGCCGTCTCCATCCCCTTCTCCAGCAGCCCCGACTCTCCTTGCGGGAGGGGCGCAGCAGCGGGCCGTAGCACCGTCCTGGGGGGGGTCCGGCTGCCCCAGGACGGCGAGGACAAGGAGGAAGGTGCCGGAATCAGCCGCTCGCCCCGGGGCAGTGGCAGTCAGCACCTCACTCCAGCAGCCATCCTTTACCGTGCAGCCGTCACCCGTAAACAGGTAGGCACCGGGCGTCCCAAACTGTCGGGGGATGGGCTCATCACCTTAATCACTTTTAATATCAGTAATGCACTAATTAATGCATGCCACCTAAAACCTGATTGATTATCCCTTTTGGGAAAATGTATATAGACAAATTAATAAAGAGGAATAAACGTGTGCAGAGCTGTTTGCTGAAATCTTTGGTGCCGAATTATTGGACTCAGTGATTATCAGTCTGGGTTCCAGGACTGTGGCTCGGATTCCCATCCCTGTCTCTGTGTAGGTGGAGTTACCAGGTTCTCCCCAAGATTCCCCGCATGTTCATCCATGAGGTTGAGCTAATTGCTGCCTCTAATGTTCCCCATAGTGTGTGATTGTGTGTGTGTGTGTGTGTGTGTGTGTGTGTGTGTCTGTCCTGCAGTGGACTGTCAGCTTATCCAGTGAATTTGCCTGCATCATGCTTCCTAGGACAGACTTTAAGCTCATCACTAACCTATACTGTAGAAGCAGCTATGGAACCTGGGTCCGCATGTTTTTTTATCATCATATCAGCTCTACATGTTAACGCCTCACTTGGCACATGGTATGATGTCATATCCTGTAACACACACTGATCCGTTTATTCCAGAAGCGAGGTGTATCATCAGAAGAGGAGGAGGGAGAGGTGGACAGTGAGGTCGAGTTGCCACGGAGACGGTGAGCTTGGTCAAGCATGAGTCAGCCTCCCCGGTCCCTTTGTCCCCCCCGCACACCCCCCTAACCACCCCGACCTTTCCCTCGTGCTCTGTACAGCCGGCCCGTTGGCATGACGAAATGCCAGTCGCTGTCCACCTTCAGCTCAGAGAACCTCTCAGGGTCAGACGGCGAGGAGGGCAACACCAGTGACCACTCAAACAGCGGCACACCGGACGTGGTCAGCACCAACACCGACGAGCGGCTGGACGATAAGAGCGACGACCTGCTGTCACAGGGATCGGAAATCCCGACCGACCCCGCCCAGGCCTCCGACGGCCTGTCTGAGAAGGAGGCAGCCATCCGGCAAGTCAAGACGCAGCTCAATGCAGAACAAAACAGCTACGAGGTACAGCTGAGGCTCAACAGCCATCTTGACTTGTTTCGATTCAATGTCCTTAATCACTGCGCCACCTGAACCCTCATGTTCTAAACAGAATTCATGTCCATTAACCCGGCTTTACATCACATTTGGTGTGTATGTAACGCTGAATTTTGTTTAGAATACTGTATCACTTAATAAATGTTTCAGACAGTGGTGTTGGTTGCTACAGTATGGGAATACCTCAGAAGTACCTAACAGATAGTACTTTCTTGGTTGAAGTTTACGGACAGAAATCAGCGTCCGAGCACTGTGGTTGATCATCCATTAAGACATCATAATGGAGATGTAACACAGTAAAAACTCCACCTCGTTTTACTGAAAGGCCTTTGAATGGTCCCTTTTCCTGTGGCTCTAATTGTGTCTTGTCTTCCTCCGGCCCTAGAATCAAGCCCTGTACGACGATTCGGACTGCGACAGCGCGGAGTTGGATCAGTCGGGCAGTGCTGAACCGAGTCGTCCTCCCAGCACAGGGGCCCTGTGAGGACCCCCTATGCCCCAAACCCAGCCTTGCAAAAATACCCAACCCCCCCTCACTAGATAGCCACCAAACCCGAACCCCAGCCGACCCACACTACACCTGAACAAACTACACCAAGGGTCTAAGTTCCGTTCAAGGTCTATGCCCCAATTCCCTTCCATAAGACATCAAGTTTAATGGAATTTAAGACAGTGAGATGTCAGTCCTGTCATACATCCCTCACTGGAATTGTAATATTAAACTAAATAGTTTGCTTGGGTTTTGATACATGGAGCTCAAGTGCAACCGGCCTTGAATGGAACTGGCCATGAGATCAACTCTCCAGAACAAGTCGAAGCAGGGAAATCGTGAAGAAAACACTGATTTTTATTTATGTATTCTTCTTCCATCACAAACTCAGCCTTGACACAAAAATGTTTTTTTTTCCCCTCGATTTCCTGCTTATTGTGAGCTATTCATGAGTAAGGTGATATATTTTCATTGGATCCTCATTTTCTAAAAACCCGAAAGAGGGAGCGAAGGCAGCTGTACGAGAAAGAATAATTCCTTTTCAGAGTAACACAGATCGCGTAGCCTGGAATAATCATGTTTACACAGTTTTCCCTTTATTCTTGTTTTTAATAGTTTACAAAATATATTTTATATCAGGGATTACGTTGTCATTTTTACATTATGTACTTTAAATGATTGTTTATGTAAATATTTTATGTCTACATTGTACAAAGGGCAAATTTCAAAGAGTTATAAAAATCTGACACTGTAAACATACATTGGTGCTGATGTTTTCAACAAGATGGGGTAATTGTATATTGGATAGTGTATCAGGTGCTGTTATAATGACATGAAGTTTTAGATTTTTGGAAGAAAACAATGCCTTTCAACTTGAGATATATACTTCCACAGCTGTCCCACATTAGTAAAATATCACTGGATACCTTTGGGGCGAGGTTACCGTGTGCAAAGTGGGAAAATAGCTAGATATATGGGTGGTCCCAGTGGTCAAGAAATTTCAAAAGCTGGAAACAAATAAGCATTTCGACACTAAATGCAGCTGAAAGTGTACAGACAAAACAAAGCATGCTTGTAATATAGTATGTGTAATTAAGATTGTATATTGATGTTGCCCGAGGTGCTTGGGTCCACGAAAAAACTGAAAAGAGAACAAATGTTAAAGAACAATGTTTAAAGTCCCTGTGTGACACACTGACGGTACTTTAATCTTCCAATATTAGTAATAATTAAAAAAAAAACAAAGAACAACAGAATAATGAGTATTATTTTTTGATCTGGCGTTTCATTTTTATCTGGAAAAATTGGCTCTCACACAGTCAGCTTCCAATGGTCAAAACGAAATTGGTCTCTGCACGCAGCCTCCCACCAAACTCTGCAGCCTGTTTTTTTACAACTTAGAAATGACAAATTGCGTTCTAGACATTTATAGGCTTGATGTTCATTTTAGTAATGCTTAGATTTCTGTATAACCTCTTCCCCACATTCTGTCCTTTTAATTAAGGAATAAGTTAAAGAAAGCATGTGCAGTTTGGTGAATCTGACAAATCCTAGGAGTCTCTTGTTGCCATTACAGCAATAGAATACTGCCCCCTGGTGACTGGAAGAGGCACTTTTAAGTTTCTTACACTGGGGAAAAAAAAACCTCCTTTGAAAAGAAAAGTCTTTTTATACCGCATTATGTATCTGTACTATAAAATGTATTTAAGGTAAAATTAAGACAAATTAAAAAATATACTGTTATACTACTGAAATCATGAGTTTTTATTTTCGAACAGAAGGGGATACCATCACTTGGAGATTCTCTTGTCTGTCCGTCCAATATGCAGATATCCCCATCTCCATACAAAACCACTCTGGAGGCAAATTTATAAGTAATATTTAGGAGGAAATATGTTAGAGTCCACTACTGTAAGACTATTTTGAAAAATGCGGGAAGCCAGAACAAAGGAGGAGCACATTTACCGTGAACATCTGTAACAAGGACAAAGAGGGACATAAATGCAAGGTAATTAGACCATTAGACATGATAATTAATTAGGCAATTATTCCGCCATTTGCATACAAGATTAAAAAAGCAGCATTATGGCTACTGGTACAACCTGAAGTTTCAGCTTCCCTGAGCCATGACCACTTTAAAAGGTTTACCCATAAAAAAGTTAAAATATCCTTCATACGCATACACGTCTTTGCGAGTTCGGTTTAACTCGGGGTACACAAAGAGCAAGTGTGTACACAGGTTTTTGGGATAACCTTTAGGTCAGCTGTATAAACCGAGTTGTGAGGACTCTTCAGCCAATCAGTCCTCTAATCAGCAGTTGCGGCGAAACACCCTGCGGCCCTTTTTGAGTCAGTTTGCCCACACCTGCTTTAACTGTCCGATAAACTACACTTCAGCTTTGCATGTGGTTAAGACTACATGAGATTTTTAAAATAGGTCTGAAAAGAGAGTCTCTTAACTTTCCATAAAGAGTGATTTTGATCATCTCACTCGCTCTGTGTTGAAAGAATGAAAAACACACACGCCATCTTCAGTGAGCATCACACAATCAGCTTGAAGAAGCCAGCAGTCAGCAGTGGGTGAAGTCATGTTTTTTTTTTTTAATTTTGCATTCTTTCCCCAACAATTCTGTGGCACTCAGGTCTACAGCCTTTTTGAAAACGTGCACAATTTTTTCCTGCCCAAAAAAAAATCATCATCATCATCATCATAATAAATTATTATATTTATATATATTTATATTACACTGTTAAAAAAAATCAAATCAGAGAAGATAAAGAGCAGGAAAATCACAGGAAATTTTGCTCTCGTCAAAGTACAGTTTAACGATTCATCGCTCTGTCACGTTACACATCACAGAAACTCTGCCCATCATCAATCTCCCCCACTGTTACATTAAAAAAATCTTAATTTAAAACTATCATTCCAGCTTTAGTAACATGTATTAAACAAAATAATTCCCCCTGCCTCACAGTTAAGGCCAAGAACATCTGTCCACCTGAAGTACATGACTTGTCCACAACTTATAAAAATCAAGGCAAAGAGGGGATGGTGGAAAACAGGAAAATTTAAACACAGTTGACAAAAAGAGCACAGTATCAGTAAATGACAGATGTGACATCCCAAAGGGGTACAGGCCAGTGTGCACATCTAATACAACAGGAAGAACGAACTCCACCTTGTCCAGATTTCCCATTAAACGGTGTCACATTCACCAATATAAAACACAGAAGGGTTTACAGATCTCTTAGGGGTGCAAGGGTGTGCAGTTAAGCATAATATAAATATAAAGACAGTTTTCTGTATTTCATTTTATCAGTGTTCTTAAAATTCTTTTTCACATTAATTTCTAAAAAAAATGGTGTTACAGAACAAAACCTAAGACCGTTCAAGGAATTCAAACTATACTTCCAAGTGATAATCGTACTAAACAGGTTTGAAGGACAGTAAAAGCAAACATATGAAATAAATAAATAGGTAGACAGCTATACTTAATGAGTGAGCTTAAATTAAACATAGGAAATGCTGGATTGTTGCATAAACCACCTCACAGGAGTTGACAGTTTAAAGGGTTCGGGGTATGAGGGGATTTTACTACTGAAGCACTGCCAGGGGTCAGTTGGTTGCCAGCCCTGTTGCTTCGGAGGTCAGCCTGGAGAGAGGTTTGGGAGATACCAAGGGCAGGAAGGAGAGGGGACAAAACAACACAAAAATAATGAACCCATTTCACGTCTCAAAATAGCACATCACTAACTCTGATAATTATTACTTGAAATTATTACTAAAAACAACTTGACGTAAAATATGCACATGCATAGTATTTCTGAAAAAGAGCACATGAATATGGATTATTCTTGCTATGCTGGTCAGGGGAGTTTCAGAATGGATATATAGGCTTCTTAGATTTTCTGAGCCTGTGATGCTGAACAGCACCATCACGGCGCCAGAGCCTTATACGATGCCCACAAAAATACACTTGCGCCGTAACACTTGTGCTGGATGGTACACATGGCTACACAAGAGCGTAAGAGCAGAATAACAGGTCTTAACAGCATAGTAACTAGACTCAGAAATGTTTGTGATCTTGTTTTTTCTTTGCCCAGCCACTTACTGAGAGACAGAGACAATTCCTTGTGTACCCCTGAATAAAAGATTGCATTCGTTGTCAGCACTGATCAGGAATCTATGTGGAAAAGCCCACATTACTGTCAAATGGGCGTTGAAGCACAAAACTCACACAGACTTCAAAGACAAAGTGAAGATCAAGACTTTGTATAATACATCACTTTGCAGTTTAACTTATCAAATGGAAAAAACAAAGTACAAATTTACTCAGCACTGACTGAAGTCTCCATTTGGCAGAACCATACACTCACCAATAAAATACCAAGGTAACCTGTTAATTTATATTTTAACAGACTAGTTGACAGCATGCTACAGTCATATCCAAAGCAGGGGTAATATTTTGGGGTAATGTAGAAAAGAAAAGAAAAGAAAAAATAAAAAAAAAAAAAGTGTCCTTTCAATAACCAGCAGAACACTAATAGGGGGATAATCTCCGCTTCTTGGACTTGGAGCCCAAGTCTGCAGAATGCTTTGACTCAGCAGTAGATGAGGGAGTGGAACTACTGGAGGGTGTCCCACTGACAACATGGAGGGCCAGAAGGGGGAGGGGTTTGAGGCTGAGCAGACTGGAAACGCAGGCAGGAGAGCTGGGCAGCGGGGGGTCGGAAGAGGAGGAGGTGGAGGAGGATGGGGCGGGGCCTGCTGCCAGTAAGGACAGGGAGATGGGGGCTGGGGGAGGCACCACACACGAGGAAGAAGAGGAGGAGGAAGAGGAGGAGGAGGAGGAAGAGGAGGTAGCAGTTGTAGTAGTAGCGGCAGGAGTAGTGGTAGTAGTGGAGGGAGTGCAGAGGCCTGTGCTGTGGGTCTGTTCAAGGTTCAAGGAGGAAGGTTTAGAGGACTCTACGCTGTAGAGAGAGAAGAGGGGAAAAGAGGGACACACAGTGGGGATGGGTTACAGGGCAGGCTAGGTAAGGGAAGGGGTGAGGGATAAGAGCCAGCCTGGAAAAATAGGGGCATGGACTGACACTGGGGGTGAACTTGACAAACAAAACAAGGTACGGGAAGACAAACTTCCGCGGTGAAACAGTAGGGGAAACCAGTATGGGTCGATTAGTATGGATTAGCTTATGAGCCAGTCAAGCCGGGGTTAGGAACCTGACAGCACAGAGTGGCAATTTCGGTGGGGGACCTGAAGAACATCCACAACGAACCCCTTCCATACCTGTGACCCCTCCATTATGATTTCGAAACAGTGGGAGACTGTGAGCGACATGCCCATAGTTCAACCTGCACAGTGGCAGATGGGACACGCTAATGGAGGGCCCGTCCACAGCAGGGCTGACGAGACCACGCGGGTGAGGATTTAGTCACCTGGCGTTTATGAGGTATTCGGCCAGGCTGATGCTGGCGGCTGAGCCCGTGATGGTGACCTGGCGGTCAGAGGACCCCTCCATCGGATTGGCAATCTTGATCTGAGCTCCGGACATCTGCCTGATTTCATTGATCTTGGCTCCTTGGCGGCCGATGATGCACCCAATTAACTACAGAAGGAAGCAGAGGGTTCAGTTCAAATGTGTTGCACAGGTGAACCTACCATTCAAAGCCTTCTGCAAAAATCTCACTAAAAGGGAAAATAATTCTATTTTAGAGTGCAAAGTAAAGACATCACTTAATCAAAACTTAATTTATATTTCTTTAGTCACTCAGGGAGGTCACAACCTGTTAAACACTGTGGACCAAACTTAGGTTAGTAACACTGACATTACATAGCCTTACCGAAATCTTACAAAGCAGAACTGATTCTCAGAAAATTAGCTTCCAATGGATCCTGTTTGATTCTTTTCGGGTTTCATGTCTTTGAAAAGGTTAGTAGAGTCATTGTACATTTCAGCTGTTGCTATAAATGTCAGGCAGTAGGAGGACACTCACATCATTGGGAATGGTCATCTCATGAGAGCCAGTCTGACTCGAGGCATCCATTCCTGCTACATAGGGGGAAAAATACACTGGTCAATAGGGTCCGAGTGGCCACCTCACCACACCTTTCTGCCTACAGTTTTGGGTTTTCAGAAGACAAACTGTTTGTCAACACATCTTTCCTGTTCATAAGAGGGTGATGTGGGAAACTAGGCTTGGAAGCCCACAGATGGCAGTATTAACTCTCTCTTACTCACTGTGCACTTTATTACCACAATAGATATTAAGTTTACATTTTATTAA